AGGTCAACGAGGAAACCTAAAATATGTAGGAAACTTGTTTGATCTAAGAGAGTTATGAGAAACATATGCGCATCTTGTAGATGCCTAGAATATGAAGATGAGAAACTGGAAATGAATTCTTGTTAAAGGACAATTCATAAAAACAGCAGAGAAGAAAGTACACTGAGTAAACCTTACCTTCTGCACAGCACGATGCTGACAAAGTCGAGGAACCCGTAAAGGTCCTTCAGTCATTTCGAATTCGATCGTTAATGACTTAGGACATAAAGACTCGACTATATTCAGCAGCGCCCATGTGGTGACTACGGTAATGTTGAAGTGGAGTGAAGACACTTTTGTGTGAAATGTTCGGAAGAATGACGACCATGTCGTGCTCTTTTCATCGGTTAAAGTTATCTGGAATGCAAATAATTAGAAGCAAAGTCTGGAACAGTGAGAAATTTCATGAAAGTTCGCACCATATCTATCCTAAACATATCTACGTCTGCAAATGCCAACTCATTCCCACTTTCTTCAAGAGAGCAAATACAGTGTGGCTTATCTCTGTCCTCGGAACGATCTGCACCTTTGACAATAATGAGAGAGTCCTGAAATGCAATGCATTTGGATAATACTATAGCGGTCTAAAAGATTCATGTGCCGTTAACCTACGGCAACCCATGTAAAGATGAAGAAAAAACAAAATTTGAAAAAAAAAGAACTTACAGCATATACTGTAACAAATTTCAGCTCGCGTCTTGGAAGCATGCTATAGTGTGCATCAATTATAAGCCGCATAAATTTGCACACGGCTGTCAACCGACAAATCGTGCGGATATCACACTGGAAGACATAGACAAAGTTAGTAGGTAAGACTAAACGTTGTTTATAAAATGAATAAAAGCAGAAGGAAAGTAAGGTGATCTTATATTCAGACAGCTAAATAATTCAAACTATTCCACTCCACTCTACTAAACAAATGTTTTCTAATTACCTTATATCCTAACAAACTTCTCAAAGCTCGTATCAAATTGGCACAAAAAAATGTAAGAGATGGAAATTATGTCATGAGAAAAGTTATCCTTTAGCGTTAAACAAGAGCAGCTAT